GCTAGATTCTATGATGTGGATTATTGGGGATTTTTTCTATTATTTATTAATTGAAAAAATCTAGTATCAATGAAAAGGGAGAGGTCTAGGCCCATATATATACATATTATATGAGTAGGAATCTACTTCTACACAAGTCTCATATGCCATATTTATCCAAAATCTCTACTTTTAATTGTGGAGATTTATCTCAAGTTTTTAGATGAAAAAGATAATTATATTTAAAATATAATAATAAATAAATAAATCTCAACAATTAAAAGTGGGGAAATAAATAGTCAAGATTTTGTATAAGTGTAGTGTGTAAGAATTGTGTGTAAATAAATACCTACTATATATATATTTTGTCTTTTTTTGGGTATGAATCCAACCCATAAAATGATAGAAAGTGAAATTTTGTTTCTATCATTTTGTTTGGTACAAGTACCTAAATTGAAAACTAGGAAGACGATGAAAACAAAAAAAAGAAAAAAAGATGGAAGTAAAAGAGCTTGGCCATTTTTTGATAAAATTGTCTAAGGTGTTGTACTTCAATCAAGCTCTTGTATTTTCCTTTTAAAAAATGAATCAATGTACCAGTATGTGTTGATAATAGTGGTAATTGGATCAGTTGGTTGATGGTAGCTATGACTAACACTAATAATAGCATAGCGATGGATCTTTATTGGAAGGACGTGAAGATTTATACTAATATTATTTACCTATTAAGTGAAAATTTATGATTTTCTTTAATAGCATCAATGGAAAGAAAATCTATAGAAATCCAACATCAATGGAAAGAAAAATTTGTGGATGTAAATAAAAATTCTTGACCAGGCCCAACAACCTATGTGTGAAGAATTGAGATAGGCTACTAGGCCTTTAACAAAAATGTGGAATGAAAAGGAAAAGATCCAAACCCACATCTATATGTGGAATTCTCAACTTTGCTAAGTTGACTCTTATATACCTAGTCTTGAGTCTTTCTTTCCTTTGTTTAGATTCCACATTTAAATGCCGTGTACTACCATAAAAGTTTGAACTAAATCAATAAGGTCTTCACTTTACCAATTTACTAAGACTTTTTTTAGACGGTGAGGGTGTTTTCGGGTCCCTGTTGAGACTAATTATTTTTTAAAAGATTTTAAATTTACCAAGATAAATGAAAATAACATATAAACCTAATAGATTTTTTTTTTTTACCAACAAATTTGAAAAGGTTGGGTCTAGACTTTTCACTGTTATGTGATATTGTAGTTTGTTATTTATAAACATTTATCTTAATATAATTGTTTTTTGCTTTGTATTTAAACAACTTTTTTAACCAATAAGAAAAAAGCTATAGTTACAATGATATAGTTTGAGAAACAAAAATGATATAAATACAATGCTACATGGTATTGTGAGTTTAGAACATGCTGTGTGATTAAATAGTTGACTCTTTTCACTTAGAAATCCATCCGTAATATTGTATGCATTCACTAATTTAATGACACATCACACTCGTTTGCAGACACATCACACTCATTTAATGCCAAATGAAAATTATAACAATTCCATTTTCCGTGGCATTATAATTATAGCATTGCCATTTCATGACACATTTGGTATTTCAATATTACATAATATCTTAATGGACATTATTAATTTCAAGTTCTACCTTTTTTAAAAGAAAGTTTGAAAGTGTATTTTAGGCTTTAGAAAACTCCATAGCATTGTATTGTATGTTCTTCCAAACTACAATGGAGACTAGTGTGATTCTATTTGTAGGCCTTCCAGTTATTGATGAAACACAAGAAATGGATGCCAATGGTTCTATTCTAATTGAATCCAATCACAAAAAACCGTAGGAGGCTTTTATGCCCAAAAGAATCTGTCCACAAAGAATGTATTGTCAGTAAAAAGAGTTTCAATTTATTATTTTGTTGGCTAGAATATTTTTTGTAATCTAAATGTAATAAAATTATTTTCTTAGCTTTAGATACTGATTGAGCATGTTTGGTAAAGGTTATAAGGAATTTTCTCTCTTACAAATCTAATAGTCTTTTTGGAAAATGATTTTAATTTAACTTGTTCAATGAGGTTACAAAATTCTTTAAAAATTGAACCCCACATGCTCATCTAGACATGTTTTTCTTAAAGAACCCCACATGCATGTTTTCCTTGAGCAATATAAATTCATGAGTTTCAAGTCTATAATTCCAAGATAATTACCTAAGCTAAAATGGGATGAATTGAAGGGCTTAGTTTATAACTCGGCGTCAACATATAATATAAAAAAAAAGGAGATGGCTTGTTTTATTCCATTCCTTATCATTTGCATCGAATATGCTTATTGCAATACTAAAAATACAGACATGTTTCTTATCCTACTACACTTTGGTTGCATTGGTATGTGCATATGCATTCATTGTTGACAACTTCGGCACCGCTGCCAGGAATGGTATTGCTGCATTCTTTTTTGCAATCGCCTGCAATGGGTCCTAGATTTGCTTTACATAAGTTGTCGATAGTTACACCATTTATTATTATTGTCATAGCCATAAAAAACAACATCAATTTCAAAATTAAAAACAACCTTGGCCATTTTGATAGAATTTGAAAGGCTTTGTGCTATAATCAAGCCCTTGTATTTTCTTTGAAAAAATGAATCAATGTATTGGCATATATTGAAAATAGAAGCAAGGTGATGTGGTTAATAATATTTTTTTTTTGGTTTGTATACTACTAAATCACATGACTGATGGTAACTCTAGTTAACACTATTAATATTGTAGCAATGTATCTTCATTAAAAAGAAATGAAGAATTGTGCCAACATTATTTACTTGTTAAGCTAGAATCTATGTTGTGGACTATTGGGGATTTTTTCTATTATTTATTGATTGGGAAAATCTATTATCAATGAAAAGGGTGAGGTCTAGGCCCATATATATACATATTATAAGTGGGAATCCACTTCTTCACAAGTCTTATATGCCATATTTATCCAAAATCTCTACTTTCAATTGCGGAGATTTATTACAAGTTTTTAAATAAAAAAGATAATTATATTTGATAAATATAAGAAAAAGTAAATAAATCTCAACCAAGTGGAGAAATAAATAATCAAGATTTTGTATAAATGTAGTGTGTAAGAATTGTGTAAATAAATTCCTACTATATATATATTTTTATTTTTTGTATTTTTTTTGGGTATGAATCCAACCCATAAGATGATAGAAAGTGAAATTTTGTTGGTACAAGTACCTGAATTGAAAACTAGGAAGACAATGAAAACAGAGAAAAGATGGAAGCAAAGGAGCTTGGTCATTTTTTGACAAAATTGTGTAAGGTGTTGTACTTCAATCAAACTCTTGTATTTTTCTTTTCAAAAATGAATCAATGTACTAATATGTGTTGAGAATAGTGGTAATTGGATCACTTGGTTGATGGTAGCTATAGCTAACACTATTAATAGTATAGCAATGAATCTTTATTGGAAGGATGCGAAGATTTGTATTGATATTATCTACCTATTAAGCAAGAATTTATGATTTGGTTACTAGCATAAATGGAAGAAAAGCTATAGAAATCCAACATCAATGGAAAGAAAAATCTGTAGATGTAAATAAAAATTCTTGACCAGGCCCAATAACCTATGTGTAGAGAATTGAGATAGGCCACTCGACCTTTAACAACAATGTGAAATGAAAAGCAAAAGGTCCAAACCCACATCTATATGTGAAATTTTCAGCTCTGCTAAGTTGACTCTTATATACTTATTCTTGAGTCTTTTCTTTATTTAGATTCCACATATAAATGTTGTGTGCTACCATAAAAGTTTGAACTAAATCAATAAGGTCTTCACTTTACCAATTTATCAATACTTTTTTTAGATGGTGAGGGTGTTTTCGGCTCACTATTGAGATTTTTTTTTTTAAAGATTTTAAATTTGCCAAGATAAATGAAAATACCATATAAACCTAATAGATTTTTTTTTTCCTTTTTACCAACAAATTTGAAAAGGTTGGATATAGACTTTTCACTATTATGTGATACTATAGTTTGTTATTTATAAACATTTATCTTAATATAATTGTTTTGTGCTTTGTATTTAAACCACATTTTTTACTAATAAGAAAAAAAGCTATAGTTACAATGATATCGTTTGAGAAACAAAAATAATATAAATACAATGCCACATGGTATTATGAGTTTACAACATGATGTGTGATTAAATAGTTGGCTCTTTCATTTAGAAATCCATTCATAATATTGTATGTATTCACTAATTTAATGAGACATCACATTCATTTGCTGACACGTCACACTCATTTAATGCTATATCAAAATTGTAACAATATCATTCTACGTGGCATTATAATTATAGCATTGCCATTTAATGACATTTTTTTGTATTTCAATATTACATAGTATCTTAATGAACATTATTAATTTCAAGTTCTACCTTTTTAAAAAGAAAGTTTGAATGTGTATTTTAGGCTTCAGAAAACTCTATAGCATTGCATTGTATAATCTTTCAAACTACAATGGAGACTAATGTGATTTTATTTGTAGGCCTTCTAGTAATTTATGAAACACAAGAAATGGATGCTAGTGGTTCTATTCTAATTGAAGCCAATAACAAAAAACCGTAGGACGCTTATATTCCCAAAAGAATCTGCCACAAAGAATGTGTTGTCAGCAAAGGGGGTTTCAATTTATTATTGTGTTGGGTGGAATTTTTTTTGTAATCTTAAATGTAATAAACTTATTTTCTTAGCTTTAGATATTGATTGAGCATGTTTGGTAAAGGTTATAAGCAAATTTCTCTCTTACAAATCTAATAGTCTTTTTGGAAAAGGATTTTAATTTAGCTTGTTCAATGAGGTTACAAATTCTTTAAAAATTGAACCCCACATGCTCATCTAGACATGTTTTTCTTGAAGAACCTCACATGCATGTTTTCCTTGAGCAATAGAAATTCATGAGTTTCAAGTCTATAATTCCAAGATAGTTACCTAAGCTAAAATGGAATGAATTGAAGGGCTTAGTTTATAACTCGAAGTCAACATATAATATAATAAAAAAAAGGAAATGGCTTGTTTTATTCCATTCCTTATAATTTGCATTGAATATGCTTATTCCAACATTAAAGATACAGACATGTTTCTTATCCTATTACACTTTGGTTGCATGGGTATGTGCATATGCATTCATTGTTGACCACTTCGGCACCACTGCCAGGAATGGTACTGCTGCATTCTGTTTTGCAATCGCCTGCAATGGGTCCTAGATTTGCTTTACATAAGTTGTCGATAGTTACACCATTTGCCATTACTGCCATGGCCATAAAAAACAACATCAGTTTCAAAATGAAAAATGAGCTTGGCCATTTTGACACAATTTGAAAGGCTTTGTGCTTTAATCAAACCCTTGTATTTTCTTTTGACAAAATGAATTAATGTATCGGCATATATTGAAGATAGAGGCAAGATACTGTGGTTAATAACAACTTTTTTTTTTTGTTTGTATACTACTAAATCACATGACTGATTGTAATTCTTGTTAACATTATTAATATTGTAGCAATGTGTCTTTATTAAAAGGAAATGAAGATTTGTACCAACATTATTTACTTGTTAAGCTAGAATCTATGATGTGGATTACTAGGGATTTTTTCTATTATTTATTAATTTGGAAAAATCTAGTATCAATGAAAAAGGGAGAGGTCTAGGGCTATATATATACATATTATATGAGTAGGAATCCACTTCTATGCTAGTCTTATATGTCATAGTTACCCAAAATCTCTACTTTCAATTGTGGAGATTTATCACAAGTTTTTAGATAAAACAGATAATTATATTTAATAAATATTATAAAAAATAAATAAATCTCAACTATTGAAAGTGGAAAAATAAATAGTCAAGATTTTGTATTAATGTGGTGTGTAAAAATTGTGTATAAATAAATTCCTACATATATATATGTTTTTTTTTTAGGTATTTTCAGGGTATGAATCCAACCTATAAAATGATGGAAAGTGAAATTTTGTTTGGTACAAGTACCTGAATTGAAAACTAGGAAGACGATGAAAACAGAGAAAAGATGGAAGCAAAGGAGCTTGGCCATTTTTTGACAGACTTGTCTAAGGCGTTGTACTTCAATCAAGCTCTTGTATTTTCCTTTTCAAAAATGAATCAATGTGTTGGTATGTGTTGAGAATAGTAGTAACTAGATCACCTGGTTGATGGTTGCTATGGTTAACACTATTTATAGTACAGCAATGGATCTTTATTGGAAGGATATGAAGATTTGTACTGATATTATTTACCTATTAAGTGAGAATTTATGATTTGGTTTATCAGCATCAATGGAAAGAAAATCTATAGAAATCCAACATCAAGGGAAAGAAAATCTGTGGATGTAAATAAGAACTCTTGGCCATGCCTAATGACCTATGTGTGGAGAATAGAGATAGGCCACTAGGCCTTTAACAAAAATGTTGAACGAAAAGAAAATGTTCAAACCCACATCTATATGTGGAATTTTCAACTCTGCTACGTTGACTCTTATATACCTATTCTTGAGTCTTCCCTTTCTTTAGAATCCACATATAAATGCCATGTGCTACCATAAAAATTTGAACTAAATCAATAAGGTCTTCACTCTACCAATTTACCAAGACTTTTTTTAGATGGTAAGGATGTTTTTGGGTCACTATTGAGACTAATTCTTTTTTAAAAGACTTTCAATTTGCCAAGATCTAAGCTAAAATAGGATGAATTGAAAGATTTAGTTTATAACTTGGAGTCAACATATAATATCAAAGAAAAGGAGTTGCCTTAGCCTATTTTTTCCATCCCTTACAATTTGCATTGAATATGCTTATTCCAACACTGGCGATACATACATATTTTTTGTCCTACTACACTTTGGTTGCATTTGTATGTGCATATGCATTCATTGTTGACAACTTAGCCACTGTTGCCAAGAATGGTAATACTGCATTCTTTTTTTGCAATTGCCTTAAATGAATCCTAGATTTGTTGTACATAAGTTGTCAGTAGTTACACCATTGCTGCCATGGCCATAAAAATTAACATCAGTTTCAAAATGAAAAATGAGCTTGTTCATTTTGACACAATTTAAAAGGTATTGTACTTTAATCAAGTTGTTATGTTTTCTTTAAAACAAAAAAATCAATGTATTGGTATATATTGAAAATAGAGGCAACAAGCTATGGTTAATAACAATTTCTTTTGGTTTGTATACTATTGAATCACATGACTAATGGTAACTCTAGTTAATATTATTAATATTGTAGCAATGTATCTTTATTAAATGGAAATGAAGATTCACACCAATATTATTTACTTGTTAAGCTAGAATCTATAATGTGGATTACTAGGGGTTATTACTATTAATTATTAATTTGGAAAATCAAGTATCAATGAAAAGGGAGAGCTCTAGGCCCATATATATGCATATATATATATATATATGAGTAAGAATCCACTTCTACATAAGTCATATATGCAATATTTACACAAAATCTCTACTTTTAATTGTTGAAATTTATCATAAGTTTTTAGGTGAAAAAAGTAGTTTTATTTAATAAATATGTAAAGAGTAAATAAATCTCAACAATCGAAAGTGGAGAAATAAATAATCAAGATTTTGTATAAGTATAGTATATAAGAATTGTATGTAAATAAACTCCTACTATAAATATATTTGATTTTTTTGTTTTTTTTTTGGAAATGAATCCAGCTCGTATGATGATACAAAGTGAAATTTTGTTTGTACAAGTACCTAAATTGAAAACTAGGAAGATGATGAAAGCAAAGAAAAGATGGAAGCAAAGGAGCTTGGCCATTTTTTGATAGAATTGTCTAAGGCATTGTACTTTAATCAAGCTCTTATATTTTCCTTTTCAAAAATAAATAAATGTACTGATATGTGTTAAGAATAGGGGTAACTGGATCACATGGTTGATGGTAGCTATAGCTAATATTATCAATAGTATAACAATGGATCTTTATTGTAAGGACATGAAGATTTGTATTGATATTATTTACCTATTAAGTGAAAATTTGTGATGTGGATTACTAGCATCAATGGAAAGAAAATCTATGGAAATCCAACATCAATGGAAAGAAAAATCTATGGATGTAAATAAAAACTCTTGATTAGGCTCAACAACCCATGTGTGGAGAATGGAGATGGGCCACTAGACCTTTAACAAATATATGGAATGAAAAGTAAGAGGTCCAAACCCACTTCTATACGTGGAATTCTCAACTCTCCTAAGTTGACTCTTATATACCTATTCTTCATTCTTTCCTTTGTTTAGATTTCAGATATAAATGCCAGGTGCTACCCATAAATATTTGAAATGAATAGTAACGTATTCACTTTACCAATTTAACAAAACGTTTTTTAGATGATAAAGGTGTTTTCGGAGGTTAGTATAGAGACTGATTCTTTTCTAAAAGATTTTAAATTTACCAAGATAATTGAAAATACCATATAAACCTAACAAGTTTTTTTTTTTTTTTTACCAACAAATTTGAAAAGGTTGGGCATAGGCTCTTCACTATTATTTGATACTGTAGTTTGTTATTTGTAAACATTTCTCTTAATATAATTATTTTTTACTTTGTATTTAAACAACATTTTTAATTGGGAAGAAAAAAATTGTAGTTACAATAATATAGTTCAAGAAACAAAAGTAATATAAATACAATACCATGTAGTATTATAAGCATACAACATGATGTGTTATTATATAATTGACTCTTTTCATTTAGAAATCCACCTATAATATTGTATACATTCACTCATTTAATAATACGTCATGCTCATTTATTGCCATATCAAAATTATAACCTTACAATTCTTTGTGGCATTATAATTATAGTATTGCCATTTAATGACACTTTTTCATATTTCAATATTATATAGTATTTTAAGGGACATTATTAATTTCAAGTTCTACATTTCTTAAAAGAACATTTGAATATGTATTTTAGGCTTCAAAAAACACCATAGCATTGCATTATATATTCTTCCAAACTACAATGGAGACTAATGTGTTTCCATTGGTAGGCCTTCCAATAATTGATGAAACACAAGAAATGGATGCCAATGGTGTTATTCTAATTGAATCCAATAGGAAAAATCTGTAGGAGGCTTCTATTGCCAAAAGAATCTATCCACAAAAAATGTGTTGTGAATGAAAAGGGTGTTGATTTATTATTGTGTTGGTTGGAATATTTTTTGTAATCTAAAAATAATAAAATTATTTTCTTAGCTCTAGATACTAATTGAGCATGTTTGATAAAGATTATAAGTAATTTCTTCTCTTTCAAATCTAACAATCTTTTTGTAAAAGGATTTAAATTTGGCTTGTTCAATGAGGTTACTGAATTCTTTAATAGTTGAACTCCGCGTGCATGTCTAGACATGTTTTTCTTGAAGAATCCCATATGCATGTTTTCCTTGAGTGATAGAAATTCATGAGTTTCAAGTCTATAATTTCAAGATGGTTATCTAAGCTAAAGAGGGATGAATTGGAGGTCTTAATTTGTAACTTGGAGTCAACATATAATATAAAAGAAAAGGAAATTCCTTACTCTGTTTTATTCCATCCCTTACAATTTGCATTGAATTTGCTTATTTCAACATTGAAGATAGATACGTATTTCTTATTTTGCTACATTAATTTGGGTTGCATTTGCACATCTATATGCATTCGTTGTTGACAACTTTGCCACTACTGCCAAGAATGGAAATACTGCATTCTTTTGTGCAATCCCCTAAAATGAATCCCATATTTGCTGTACATAACAAGTCATTAGTAGACCTTTCACCATTACTGCCATGGCCATAAAAAACAACATCAAATTCAAAATGAAAAATGAGCTTGGCCATTTTGACATAATTTCAAAGGCATTGTGCTTTTAATCAAGCTCTTGTATTTGCTTTTTCAAAAATGAATCAATGCATCGATATATATTGAAAATTGGGCAAGAAGTTGTGGTTAATAACAATTTCTTTTTGGTTTGTATATTATTGGATCACATGGATGATGGTAACTACAGTTAATACTATTGATATTGTAGTAATGTATCTTTATTAAAAAGAAATGAGGATTTGTACCAACATTGTTTACTTGTTAAGCTAGAATATGTGATATGGATTACTAGGGTTTTTTTCTATTAATTATTAATTGGGAAGATCTTGCATCAACGAAATGGGAGAGGTTTGGGCCCATATATATATAGAAATTCACTTTTACTCAAGTTTTACATATCTTATTTATATAAAATTTTAATTATTTATCTCTTTACTTTTAATTGTTGAGATTTATTATAAGTTTTTAGATGAAAAAAATTATTATTTTTAATAAATATGATGAAAATGAATAAATCTCAATTATTAAAAATTGAGAAATGAATAATCAAGATTTTATATTAGTGTAGTGTATAATTGTGTGTAAGTGAATTCATAATCTATATAAATATAAATATATATATGATATTTTGTATTTTTTTGGGTATGAATCTGGCCCGTAAATGATAGAAAGTGAAAATTTGTTTGGAACAAGTACCTGAATGGAAAACTAGGAAGACGATAAAAACAAAGAGAAAAGATGGAAGCAAAGGAGCTTGGCCATTTTTTAACATAATTGTCTAAAGTGGTGTGCTTTAATTATGCTCTTGTATTTTCTTTTTCAAAACTAAATCAATGTACTGGTATATATTGAGAATAGAGGCAAGACGCTATGGTTAATAATAGTTTTTTTTTTCCTCTTTTTGGTATGTGATGTGGATTACTAGGGTTTTTTTAATAATTATTTGCTGCATCAATGAAAAGAAAATCTATGGAAATCCAACATAAATGGAAAAAAATAAACGATAGATGTAAGTAAAAACTAACAACTAGGCTGAAGGACCCATGTGTCTAGAATCGAGATGGGCCACTAAGCCTTCAAAAAATTGTGGAATGAAAAGGAAGAGGTCCAGGTCCATATCTATACGTAGAATTCTCAACTCTACTAGGGTGACACTTGTATACCTGTTCTTGAGCCTTTCTTTTGTTTATATTCCATATATAAATGCCAGGTGCCAAGTGCTACCCATAAAAGTTTGAAGTGAATTAGTAAGATCTTAACTTTACCAATTTACCAAGACCTTTTTTAGATAGTCGGGGTGTTTTTGACTCAGTATCGAGACTA